GCTGGAGATGTGTGCCTATACTCACATATGAAGACATTTAAACCTATAAAGTACCCTAACGTTTAAAAAGGCACCGATACAAATCGTCGTTTTACATAATTTGTTTCCATTATTCTACGCTTGTGTGTGTGTGCAGTGCAGGAAGTCATCTATCCATCATCATTATCCAATTCCAAAGCAGACGTCCAACTAATATGACAATGTTTCAGCTGAGCATAGTCCATTTGAATGGAATCGTCCAGCCTATAAAACGGGCAAATGTATTATCACAGTTTCTGATTATTCTAATCATATTCTTATTTATATTCTTAACCAGAGCCATTATGTTAATAACAGGAGATGTCCTGTGGTAGCGCTGCTAACAAAAGAACTTCATGTCCTTTGGTACAAAATAAATACAGTACAGACTAAAACAGATGTTATAATACAGCTTTCTTGATGATTATCACTTCATTTCAGCGTGGTGTGAAAAGTCCTCAACATAAAATGCACTCATAACTCAAAGACCCCTCCAGTGATGTCAGTGCCCATAACAATCATTCCCTATTGACTGTCAGAGGAATGACGCAAACATGACATGAGTTTTATTAGCTGGGAGGTATCAGCTGAGGGAAAAATAACCTATATACAGTCGGGGATAACATGAAAGGCATGTCATGAATCCAGTTTAATGCCTTCATTATCTTTCTGCTAGCTTATGTAACAAACTGCATTCATACAAATTGTCTATTTTATAGAAAATAGAAGAAAATCAGTTAAGAAGTAAATCATCTATTGTACGATAAACTGCTCAATCTCTATCACTATCCTCTCCATCTTATCACTGCCTCCTTGTCATGGGAGTGAGAGTGATTGTGTGTATATGACGTGTGGAATACAAGACACAGAAGTCCATAGTCTGGTCCAAGTAAAGAACCAAGACTATATCCCTCCTCCCAAACCAAACTCAAATGTCATGTCAAAATTACACATAGCAATAACAATAGTGATAGGTGTAGGAAAGTATTGATATACTTAAATTACAATATGTTTTGTTTGAAAGGATGTCACAATTACAGAAATGTAGTAATGTGGTATTAGTATTATAGTTCCATTTAACTTATTAAACTGAACACAGAAGGGTTCAATAAACCACAGGCCGTTTTCTACGAATAACATCTTCAAACTTACAAAACATATCCCTAAAGTTGCCTTCATTTTTTATGTGTTTATTACGCAAGCAGACATTCCAATGACTATTAAAAAATAACTTACCCAACAAGATTTTATGAGGACGCGTACAAAAGAAATAAAATACACAGACCCAAGTTCAACAGGTTTTTTACAAAATCTTTGGAGATGAAGCAACATGAAGAAAATGTCAAAATACCACACAAACAGGCAAGTGAGGTTATGATTATATCTGAGAGCAACAGCATGTACACTATGTGACAGCAGGTGAAGCCACGCCGTACAGAACTTTATTTACCACTGCGTTAACTCTCCTCAAAAAGCTACTGTATTTGTACGTGATGTTTCTTTGCTCTTCCTGTGTCAGCATATCATCTGATAAGCAGCTCAAATAGTACAGACATGGAACCAAAATATGTGGTAAGCACCTCACACGTCACAGCAACTTCAACTGAAAGGAAGTCAGTTTTCTTGTTTCCTCATCTAAAATGGCGGGACACTAATTTGTCACCAGTATTAATAGTGACAGGATTTGTTGACTTATTCTGTCTGTAGACAATCCTAAAAAAATAAAAGGTGAGAGTTGTAGTAGAAGAACAGAAGACCTGTCACATGTGATAATGAAAAAAACACTCTCACTAGAGATTCCACGCAGTGCTATGAATACTCAAACACATGTTCACATACTACAGGCTCCTCTGTCAGGAATGTTCCACTCCACAGTCACTCACAGCATATATTTACATATTCTCACAGCGTTTTCATCCGGACCATGAGGAGGTTGTCCGGCCCTCCTGTAACTGTATAACATAAGTAGAGTGGTGGGTAATTTTAGCCTTAGAGAGCTGTGTGACATGAATGAGCAAACATTAGCATAGTATCTGATAAATGATTATCCCAATTTAAAATGAGATCATCACAGTGTCTCCAATTCTTTTTTTAACTGCATCAGAACTGCTTTAATTCAACAAATAAAAAAGGTGAGCATGGAAGAGGAAACAAAATGTCATATTTGTACAGACAAGGCACTCACTTAGAATCACCTGCACTGTTTCTCCTTCTTTTGTTTGGTGTAAGAAACCTGAGAGTTTAAGTGCGATCAAGTTTCAGCCTCTTAACTTCCTGTAAGATGCCTTGATACAGATGGTGCATTAAAATGTGTTTTAAAGAAGAGAAAAGAGATGTCTCAATATTATTATGTCTACTCAGTTAACAAATGCTCTGCAGCGTGATAAAAGAACCAGTGACTAAAACCAGACAAATATGTACAAGTCCATGTATGGTTATCCTACAAAAAAACTCAAGACAACTTCTTGACTTTGTCAAACTCGAATCCAGACATTGCTGCCAAGAAATGTGCCTTCCTGAATCTATTAAAGTAATTTTCCAGGAAATAATAACTCGTACAGTATTTATACTAAATGAATATTTGAAAGCTGCTGAAATGACTTGCGTAATAAAATATTCTGCCAGAGGAAGGGATATGACATATCCTAAATATATTCAAGATCAGCTTAATTTCGATCAATTAGGCTTATATTTAGTCAAAATGACAATAATATAGGAACCATGGAGTTAAAACTATCCAACAGCATGGTGTAGTCCCAATGGCTGCACTCGAAAACCTGCAAGTATAGCCAAAATGAATTTTACCCAAACTGTAAAATCAGTGAATGCTTGTCAGCGCTCACAAAAACAGAAAGTGCTTGGAAAAATGACCCATCATGTAAGTGGTGTAGTGGTTAAGAACGACAATGGAAAGGGAAGAAGTCGGTCTTTGCTTTGTGAATTTGTACTGACTTTACAGTTGTAATCTCATCTGATTAAAAACAGTGTATGAAATAAGCCTGTATCAACACAAAGGCTGTTATAATGAGCAATAAACACTTATTAAACAACAAATTAAATAAAAGGCTTGCATTTTGTCCACATGTGGTTTGACAAAAGCACTGCCTCTTCCTCATTAAAAACCACTCACATTACACTTAGCACACACAAGAGACGTCGATTAAAGTCTCAGTTAGTTAGGCTGGACATTGGGACTGAGACCGAATCAGAACCATCTCTAGGATACTCGGACAAACTGCATATTACATATTTACAAGTACTTCTTTAATTTTTACTCATCAATCCATTTTCATGAATTCACACAAAAAGGGAGAGATTTCTATAAAACGTCAAAGTCACAGTAGAGGTTTTTGCAATTTGCATTGTCCACATAGCCCTGCCCATGCACCACATGTGTGTATTTATACGAGTGTGTTCATGGGCAGGCAGTTGCCTGTCAGAAAACTGGTTAGGCAAATATCTTGCGGAGCTGCCTTGTCTACAGTAGAGAAAGGTCCACTGACTGTGTAAAGGTCACAACAGGTATGACTGGTTAAGAGGGTGGTGCTGGTGCACAATCACGTGAGACTTATTTGAATTGGGTTTGTGATCCTGATGTTGTTGGCCTCCATCTCAAGCAGTCTACCCTTCGATATCAGACCACTTTATTGATTAAAGACAGGCAGCAGCAGCAAAGTGTTTATTGCGTGGTTCTTTGTGACACAAATGAAAGGCATGGGGATATCCTGATAGTCACCGACAGCTTGTGTGTGTTACAGTCAGCAACAGATGCAGCTATGTTAAAGATCAAAAAGGATGAACAGAAGTCAAAAACCAAAGTGACTCAGAAGAGAAAAACAAACAAAGCTCAAATTCCCTATAATTTAGAACAAATCAGAATGACTACCAACCCTTGCAGTGAACTTTACTATTCAAACTTCTGCTTACATGCTATTAAAAAATGACTCAACCAATGTACTGAACCGCCACAACCGTTATGACTGGCACGAGTTTTGACATGTCAAAGAGAGATAACACACCCTGAGTGCATAAGGTGCAATATCATTCAGGCCCGGGAACAATAAATCTCGGTTTTGCCTCTCCTGCAATTACTTGTAATACTCTGTATTCCAAGTGCACGCTAGATCTTGCTCTTATATGGCTGAGGCTCTGATCTGTACCAAAGATAAATCTCAAAACTAGTCTCAGATTGCATTGCTAATCTAAAGACATGTTGCTATGTTTGAAATAAAGCAGAGGCCACAGTGGAAGAAGTGTAATCATCTGGACAACAGAAGCCCCAGCCTCAGTCAGCTCTGTCTCCATGACTCACCCAGGCCCAGCTGAGTCAAGCTGAGTGACTCTTGATGCTGAAACTCATAAAGTCGTATTAAATTAGAAATAGGCCTCGGGAATGCAAAAAAAGCTTGTGGTATGCAAGTTTCTATGGAAAGGCAAGCTGAGTTAAGTTAAAATATGTGCTCTTCTTCCTTACTTTACAGGTAAATCCTCTCACTGAGGTCAAAACCAATACATGCTGTAATTTAAACAGAGTGGTTTATAAGTTATCTTTGGAAAATGCACCAAAAAAACAAAAACATGAGCCTGAAAATCCACCAGTGATTCCAGTCATTTCCATTTTTACATATTATTTAATGAAGTCTATAATAATAACAAGTTACAGTCCGAATAGAGAGGGGAGCATTTTTACAAGCTTTAACCAACAAGCATGCCTGTGTGACAGCAACAGAGAGCAGAAACAAATGCTGCACTTCTTCATGTAACAGGAGGAAGACAGCGTGAGTGTAAACAAATGTAATGGCGAGCTTTGACAGCACCCGGTGTTAAGAACATTGTAAAATAAGATTTACCAAACGTGACGTTACACGTTGGAGGAGCACATTTGAACCGGAGTAAACTCACCGGCAGTTAGTTACCTAGCAACATGGAAGCAAAGGTAATGATAAATTGATGGCTTTGCAATGCCGATTATCCTCACATACCTGCAGCTGATGCACCTCCGGATTAAACACACACCCGGAAAAGCAAAAGTTCCCCAGCCTTTTCTCCGCGTTTGTAAGGGGGTCACTACTTTCACCTGTAACACGGTGTTCTTTCAGCTCCACTCGATGAGGTCTGGAAACGATGCCATGATTGAGATGAACGCATCGAAAGTCAGCAGCTAATTTCCTTTACGTCGCCGTGTGCATGTGATGGCCCTTCAGCAGAGGAAGGGGTGTGGGTACAACATGACACACACATCATCATCCGGAGTGTGTTAACATGCTATCAGCCGCCCTTTCTGCCAGTGTTTACAAAATATGGCCCCATCGTTGCACCGGAGAACCACACGCTGGATTTCCTGAACCGACAGAAAAAAGGCCGAAGTAGCTATGGTAACGTTTAAAATGTCCTTGAATATCCTGCCAAACGTCGCGGGAGTTGGCGGTCCGTCGGGTTCGTCCTGGCGGTAAAACGGTAACCGGTTGTGAGCTCGGTGCAGCGGAGGTCCATCTACCGTCCACAGAACCGGGGAGGGAGAGGGGCACACAGATGAAAAGCACCCGCCATGGGAAGTTGTCACTCCTCAAGTCAGAGCCGCTGCGAGACTTCACAGTCCTTTCAGCACGACACCAAATAGTGTCAAGGAAACACGAGTCTAACGAGGTTTCCGGTATAATCTTCCAAAATAAAAGCCTGCCTTACTGAGCGTGTGCAGTTGCTCATTTCACACACTTGAACTTGCACTCCAAGTGCAGAGATGGGAAAAGTATCAGGTGTACTTAAGTACAAGTATAAGTACTAGAGTGTAGGAATACTCCGTTACAAGTCAAAGTCCTGCATTACAAATGTTAGTCAAGTAAAATTACTAAAGTACTGGCATCAAAATATACCGTAGTACTACTTAAAGTACCAAAAGAAAGTATTCATTATGCATTTGGCCCATTTCATTATTATGAATGATTATATGTTTTGCTTATAACTATTGTTGCATTAATATGTTTATCAAAGCTGGTAAAGGTGCAGCTAATAATTGTAATGACTTTGTATTCTGCAGGAAAGCTTGTGAATTTTTACTCCAGGGGTAACTAAAGTATTATTTGGTGATTATATTTCACATCATTAATCCAAATCTGCAGAGTAACTAAAGATATTAAATAAATGTAGTGGAGTAAAAGTACACAATAACCTCAAAGTAGCAAAACCTTAAGTACAAAGGAGCAAAACATTGAAATATTCAAGTGAAGTACAAGTACCTCAAAATTGTACTTAAGTATAGTACTTGAGTAAAACTACTTAGTCACTTTTACACCAATGTCAAGTGTATAAAGGGCGTCCTACGATCACAGAATGATAACCCGTTGATATATTGAGGCAGAAAGCTCATTAACACTATAATGGAGTAAAAATAATAAACAATAAAAGTATTATTTGTATTTATCTAAGGGTTAGAGGTGTGCAGGGGCGGATCTAGACAAATATTCATGGGGTGGCAAGAGGGTGGCAGGAGATTTTGAGGGGTGGCATCCCCTGGCAGAAGTATATGCTGATTGAATCGCAGTCATATCAATCAATGTTAACTTGGAAAGCCACAATGTTAATTTTTTAATTCACTAACATAGGTGACATTATTGTGGCACATCAGTAAAGCCTTACATATAAATATATAAGGTGGCAGACATAATTTAATGAATTTTAACTGAACAATAACTGAATGAGTTTGTTTCACTCTTAGACCAGCAGGGGTACCAAATCTATGAAGACTGCTGCAATAAGTACATTAATTAACTGTCTCATCGATGTTCGTCTGAATGAATATGATACTATTAACAATCATATTATTCCTATCAGCTGTCAATCACTGTTATGATTCACATATTCATTTATTATTGAATAAGCTATAGTTTTTGGAGGAGTTAATGATGAATGTTCCTCAAGATGCTTGCTCACCCTCCTTCAAATTTGAAAGACAAGTAATTATATCATGTATCAAAATTCAAAAGATTCAAAGGAACAGTTCAGCGCCCCACGACTTTACTGCAAACAGTTACAACCTTGACTTTACATCAGAAAGAACAAACATTAAAGTAGTGACTAACTGCATCAGTTAGGGTTAAAAAAACGTGTATTCAGCTAAAACATAAACATCGCTGCAGTTATTATCCAGTGGAAAGTCCTTACCTACTGGCCTAGTTAAATCAAAGGTTACTTTTTTTTGGCTGGGCAGTGTAGTTTTACACACCGTCTTATTTGACTTTCTCAGGACTTAAAACTGTTTTTTGGGGGCAGACCCCCTCAAAGAAAAAAAATATATACACACATACAAGGTCATCATCTTAACAGTTGTTTATGCTCATCGAGTCATCCGTGAGCAGAGCATCAAGTTGGCATGACTATTACAGCTGAATGCGGCGATTACCACATTGGGATCCACATTAAAGAGCAGCTGAAAACTTCCCTTTTTATAAAGCTGAGAGTCAGGCCTGACATCCACACCCTAAT